CACCCCCCCCCAGCAAATATAGGGTGGGAAAAGTGGGGAGGGAGGGGGGATAAGGAAGGAGGTGCTTGCTTGGTTAGGTAGCCACAAAGGCACTCGTCGAGATTGGCGCTACTTAGAACCAGCGGTGGTCGGCCAACAGTAGAGGAAGTCGTGTGGCTTTTGGACCAGGGCAGAAGTTGAGCCATCAGGTAGCTAAGTACGAGACGACTGCGTGCCTGCAAGTTCTGCAGGGCCAAGTCCTCCGTTAACGTCCCACCCTCACTGTCGAACAGCGGCCTCTGTGACTCGTTCAGACCGTGAAGTGTGGCTGACAGGAGGCTCTTCACTACGTCATTGATGTTAACCTGAAAGAAATACAAAGAGGAAAAGTCTGGAGTTTTGTCAACTAGGACAGCTAGGACACACTTTGTCAGCGCGCTTGCCAATGGGGACTAAAATGGGATTAGAAATCAGTTCTTAGCCTGGCGTCCGATCAGGAGTCAGAAGCTGCAAGTGTCATAGTACCCAATATGGGATCTCTAAAGAAGGACACATATTAGAAGGGCTGCCGAAAATCGTCCATGAGTCATCTAGATCAAAAAAGAACAACGTAAAAGGCAGCCTGCCGACTTTGCTGCTGTACGACGCAGAAACCTGATCTGTCGACCAGTGTTCAGTTGAGATGTTCAGCCAATCGCAATTGAGCTGCGTTCGGAAGAACAGCACATCCTAGGAACTTACATCTTGGAAGAGCTATCCGGGCAAAACCTGCTTGGAAAAATGGAACAGTCGAATGGTGCTGATGATGGAACAACACCATGGTGGTGCCAGCTTGTGGCAACATAGTCGGAGGAGCAACCAGTCGATAAAAAACGAGCGTGGCTCCCAAAGGACACGATAGAGACTTGAATGAAATGCTCCGGAGTCGACCATGGGTTGACAGATGTGGAAATCGCCGGACGTTAGGTGGAGAGATCTTCGAGGAAACATAGCATGTGGAAAGCCAACGGGAAACTAAAAGAACGGATAATAACATCGCAGAGTACGCCTCCACCAGTCCTCGTCAAGTTATTTTCACTGCCAACGCTTAGTTAAGCCTCGGATTGGCAAACACACATAGCTCTGACATCTAGAAGTGGTGGCACTCCTAATGCTACTGCTGCTGCTACTACTTCTACTACCCTCTTTCTCATTACTCCTTTAATTCAGAGCCTGTTCAGGTGACATTTTTGAGCCATTAGGAGTGGATTCAACTGGGAGCAGTGGAGCTCAAAGCAATTGCCCACGTCTGCGTGTGCTGCACTGTTGTAACTCTCTTAAAAATAAAAAAGCCACATACGAAATGTCTGCGTAATCTCGTTCATCTGGGTTTTTAGGAAAGAAATCTTTACCAGATATCCTCCCGGATCAATTCTTACTCTGGCATGACAGTTATTCTGCCAGTTTGCAGCCTTCAAAGTCCTAAGGTCTAAGTTACCGAGATAAAGGAAAGAAGGGAAGGGGAGAATGCTTATGCCCTCCAGGTGACAGAAGACGTCGGAAATGCGGCCTCCCCGACTGCCGGCACATATTTTCCCTTTAAAGCCCACAGCGCAATACAGCTTCCACTTCATCAAATAAGCTGGTGTAGACCGGAAGTTCAAGCCCCGGGCCTACACTATTACTAGTGTGCTTAACCACCCTTCCGGTAAAACTGCTAGTCAGGCATCAAGATAAACAATTGACCCACTCCTTACGGTTTCATGAGTGTAGGTGCACGGGGTTCGGTTCGCCGGCGATTACGTTAAAGTTCGATTAATGCACGAAAGCTAATGTATCGAGGTTCTTGAAAAAGTTTCCTTACAAATGTTCGGACAAAGTGCGGGCGCGCAAAACAAAACACTTACGTAATACTAAAGATCCTAAACCTCAACCACAACGTACGAACTAGAGTGCGTAGAAAATAAGGTGGCGTCGAAAACATTGATTTGCCAACAGAAAATAAACTAGTTCGACTTGACGGAATATAACAAGGGTCAGCCAACTCTTCGACGAGAGACTGCCTTCAAAGACGGGCACTGTTGGCCCCGCGATCAAACTAGGTCTGCCAGACCTATACCCACACGACCAAATGACGCATTTGAGGAAGTTTACAGTTTATTCGATTTGGCTTTTTGTCCTCATATCGGACGAAGAACCAAACATAAACTAGTAACCTATAAACGCACTATTACCTCCCAAAGCAAAAATACAGAAATAAAAACGAACAGAGGGGAGCGCAATATTAGGTAATATTGATAATATTAAGTAATATAATAATATCAGAAGTAATATTTACCGATCATAATTGTTAAGAGGGTTTGGCAGATTTGAATAATTCAGTTGGGCAAATTGTGAAAAAATTT